CCCCCCATCTCCCTCCCCGGAACCCCTCCCTCGAAGCCGGGGCTCGCCTCTCTCACCCTGCCAAGGAAGGTTCTCTCTGGGGGCGACTACTCACCGCTTCCCCTATACTGGGTTCCTACCCACCAGTATCCCCTTAACGTTGCCCCCCTCACCGAAGTAATAGTGGGGGCGACCCGAGTTGGACTGGTGGCTATTTTTCCTCTCAGGCTAGCTGTCCTTCGCCAGGCCGACCCTGTGTAGAGATAGAGAAGCACATTAATACTCCCGTTCCCCACCACCACCACCACCACCACCAGGTTTGGATCCCACTGGAAGTGGCTCACAGTAAAGAGAGATCGGTAATGGAAGTGAGCTGGAGGTGGATACCAATTCTTAAACCCCATCCCAGCATTGAAAATCTAAGGATTCGTTCCTTACCATACAAGCCATCAAATAGCTGGGGGAGGGAGGCTGTAAATTATCGAAACCCCAATGTCCACACGACCCGACAAGACGCTACCTTGTAGGAATAAAATACGAACTAGACTGTCACCACGGGAAGGAAAGTATACCCCCCCATTGCCATCCACCCCTAAACACATACCCCTAGAAGGGTCAGTTTGGTGGTGGTGGGGATTGCTGGGGAGTGAAAGGATTGTGAGGGAGAGGGTCCGCGGCCCCCAGAGAACGAATCCAGATGCTAAGAGGTGGGTGGGTGGGGGTGCGGCGTAATTTCAGACGGTGTCTCTCCTCGCTTTTCCCGGAATCGCCACTGAACACCGTCTAACACTCGGAGTTGCTTACCAGTCAGTCCCCTAGCCCCATTTGTGCGCGAGAGGCGGCCGGAGCTCGGCCGGGAAGCCTGGGCACAAACTCCGCGGAAGCTGGCCTTCGCCGCCGCCGCGCTGCCGCGGGCCTCCCTCCCTCCACTCTCGGCCCCGCGGATCTACCTTCGCCCCCGGCCGAGGCCAGACCCCGCTCACAACTCCACGCCCCTACTCCACCCCCGGTTCCCCCTCCCCTCGCCTCTCCCGCCGGTCCGGCCCAGCCCCTTGCGCCGCCCCGCCCTACCGCTCGGTCCCTAGCCCAGCAAGTGCCCCGAACTCGCCCCCCGCCCCCACGCCCAGGCTAGTCCGGCAGGGCCTGGTTCCCCCTTCCGCCGCGCCCCGTCCCCGAATCCACGTCCTACTTAGCCACCCAACTCGGCCCGGTCCGGGTTCGGCCCGCGCCCACGCCACCAGAGTCCCTGGTTCGGTCCGGGGCCACCCACCCCGCCCTTGCCTGGGTGCGGGTCTGGCCCGCTGCCTGCACCCACCGATCCGACCAAAGCGCGCGGTCCCGGCCCGGGTCCAGATCCTGGTGCCGGCCTTGGTCTCCCCGGCGTTGCCGCGTCTCGCCACGAGGGCTCGGATCACGCAAGATCCGAACCCGCGCAGGGTGGGGGCCACGGGAAGCAAGTTTCTTTATCCTCCCCCCGCCCCCGCCCTCGCCGCAGGGCCACGCCGTCCCCCCTCCCGCCCCCGCTCACAGCGCCCCCCTTCACCTGGGCAGAGCCCCCTGGCCGCTGTCGCAACTTTGCTCTCCTCCACGCCGCGGGGAAAGCGGACGAAGCGGGAGGAGGAGGGAGGTGGCGCGGGGTGGGGGGGTGCTGGGATCAGGCCTCTGGGCTCCGAAAGGACACGTGGGGGAGGAAGGGAAGGAGGAGGAGGAAGGGGGGCGGGCCTGCAGTTCTCGGGGCTCCCCCTGCCAGCCCTGGGGAAGCCGGAACCTCGCCCGGCAGCCGCAGACCCCGCACTGGCCACGGAGGAAGAACGGAGCCACCTTCCCCGGCCAGCCCCTGGCTCCAAGAAGGGAGCGAGGCATGCAATGCCGTAAGGGGTCGCGGAGCGAGCGTTTTCACTCCCGCTTTATGTGTGACTCTCCCCGATTTGCCTCGGTCTATGTAGGAGGACGGGGGTCTCCTTTGAGGCAGGACGCCCCCACCGAACGACCCGCCCCTTCTCCAGCCCCGCACTTCCCCACCCTGGGCGACTTTGTTGCGTGGTTGGGGCGCTCCAGTACTGAGGCCGCTCACAGGCACAGCCCCAGCCTCGGCGCCGAAGTGGGACAGGTGCTGGAGAAGGGAAAATGCCGGGGGCTCGAAGCCTCGCCTGGAGACTCGGGCCGGTCCGCCTTCAGTGACAATCTCCCAGGCTGCAAATCCCTTGGGCCACTGTCAATGGACAGGCCCTGCCCAGGCTTGGAGGCATCCGAGGTTGGGGAATGGGGGAGAGACCCGAGAGAGGGAGGAGGAGGAAGAGGGGGATGAAAGGTCTGTAAAGGGGGAAGCCAGAGGTTGGGGAATGGGGGAGAGACCCGAGAGAGGGAGGAGGAGGAAGAGGGGGATGAAAGGTCTGTAAAGGGGGAAGCCAGCACTACTGGAGCGAAAGCCCCCTCCGAAAGGACTGGGTTCTGCTCTACTTTCCCCTTGTCCATCAGGCACCAATCTGAGCCCCTTGACCCTTACCCTTTACCCTAATGACTTCCCCGCCTGGCCAAAGGAATAAATCCCCCGGTGTGTTTACATCCCAGGCCATCCCTGGGACTGAAGGGCTGAGAAGCTTGCGGTCCACATTCTAACTCTGGTGACTTTACAATAACTCCGAGGAGAGCAGCTTGCGAACAAGCTGACTCTGCAGGCTGACTTGCTTTCAGTCGTAGGGTGTTTCTTAGCAGCTCCAACCCTGAGCCGGTGGTGAGGACTTCAAAGGCATCGCCTCTGCCTAGATGGTATTAGGGGAAGTGCCCAGCAGTTCCTGGAGGATTTGTTGCTTTGTAAACAGAACGTGAAATGAATAGCAGGATTTTGAAAAAAAATTATGTGCAGATATATTGATATTATTTGTTATGTTTATCTGTACCTAGGAATCCAGAGGGCCATTTGAACTAGAAGGAAGCCCTGTGGGATTACTGTCTCCCTCTTCCTCCTCCCTGCCCCCTTTTGCCATTGCTAAGTCTTAGAGGTTCCATCTCTAAGCTAGGGGGTGTCCTCTCTCCTTTGGAAGGACTTCACAGGTGGCAGTTGAGACTTGCCTGGTATGTCTCCATCACCTGGTCTGAGGGATGTGCATGAGTAGAGGAGCAAGCTGAGGCTGCAGTGGCTTTGCTGTTGCCTGAGGCCTGGTGTTCTATATCCCACCCCCTTACTTGTCCTCGATAGCCTCTAAATCTATTGCCAGCAACATGGACCTAGCCCTGGCCATTGTGTTTTGATTTGGGAACCGCTTCACTAGCTGTTTTAACTGGCCACACCTACTCTCCCATGCACTCCCCACTCCATATACCCACTCCTTAAAAAAAATGTTTGGCCTGGGGCCGGGGATTTAGCTCAGTGGTTCCAGGGCCTGCCTCTCAGGTGGAAGGACCTGAGTTCGATCCCCGATACCAAAAAAAAAAAAAATGTTTGGCCTAAATTGCACCAAAGGAAAGTGAAGATTTGGAAATGGTGTGCTTAAACTAATTGACATATAAACTCAAAATACATTACTAAGGGGGAAATCGCCTCTATGAGGCCTGATAATGCAGACCCTGCCAATTCTGCTTTGATTTAAGTTGATTGTCTTCACTGATTTTAAGTAATCTAGTAATTACTAAATAACTACTTCTCTTAAGGTCCTAGGATTTTAGGGCAACTTAGCTCCTTGCTTTGCGGCTGAAAGGGATCCCGGACACTTCAGTTTGCACTAATCTGTGTCTCACCATTTGGCTGCATCATTTATCCGGCGAAATGAAGGTTGGGGCAAGATGGTTGTTTCCTGGCTGAAGCTCTAGCTTCTCTGAGCCCTTTCCTGTTGGGGGCCAGGCTTCCTGCCCTATAGGAGATGATGGGAAACCAAGGAGCTGGGTGGAGAGGGCTGTAGGAAACCCTGTAGTGAATGTAGATATTAATGATTGTTTTATTTGAGGCTAGAACCACAACATAACCATAACAATATCTCACCTTTGTACAGCATCAGAGTGTTTACGGAGTCCTTTCACTCTTGCTACTTCATTTGTTGTTCGCCTCACTGCAACTTTTGATTTTGTAATTGAGGAAACTGAGTCTCTGGGCCTCTATGAGTGGCTTGCTCATGGGTAGTTAGTTCTTGAGCCAGGACTCAACCTCAGTAGTCCTGCCTCTATCCAGAGTTCTTTTCAGTGTGGCATACATAGCATCTCCACTTAATTCCACAATGGTTTTTTTCCAGGCAGATTGTTCTTCTTGATTATTTCTCCCATCGATAATATCTACTGCATC